ACTCGATCTTGGTCGTTTCATTTTTACTCATGGTTTTGTCCCGATCATTTGATCTTGACTCAGTCTAGATCATTTTTTATGACTCGTGATTTCATTTTGATTATTTATTTTCCACCTCACTTTATCTTAGTCACTTTATTTTGACTCATGGTTTCATCTCGATCACTTAATCTTGGCTCAATCCAAATTATTTTGCATGATTTATGGTTTCACCCCGATCATTTATTTTTTATCTCGACTCAATCTTGGTCGCTTCATTTTGACTCACAGTTGCATCCCAATCATTTGATCTTAGCTCAATCTAGATCATTTCTTATGACTCATGATTTCATTTCAATCATTTATTTTAGACTTCGATTTGATCTTAGTCGCTTCATTTTGACTCGTGATTTCGTCCTGATCATTTGATCTTGGCTCAGTCCAGATCATTTCATATGATTCATGATTTTATCTTGGTCATTTATTTTAACCTTGATTCAGTTTTGGTCGTTTTATCTTTAACTCGTGATTTTATCCTGGTCAAATAATTGACCTCGACTCGGTCATAATCGCTTTTTTTCATATGATTCATGGTTTCATCCTAGTCATTTATTTTAACCTCAACTCAGTCCTGGTCGTTTCATCTTTGACTTATGGTTTCATCATGATCATTTATTTTTAATTTCGACTTAGTCCTAGTCACTTCATTTTTTACTCGTGGCTTCGTCTCAGTCTTTTATTTTTTACCTTGACTCGATCCTGGTCGCTTCATTTTTTACTTATGGTCACTTGATCTTGGCTTAATCCAGATCATTTTTTATGACTCGTGATTTCATCTCGATCATTTATTTTGACCCCGATTCAGTTTTGGTTGCTTCATCTCCAAACTCATGATTTAATCCCGATTAGTTTTACTCATTGATTTGACTATTGGGTTGAAATAGAGTGGGTGTCTAGGTCTTTTACTATCCCTAGCTGATAGAAACATGCAAAGAGTGACAGCTATAGAGACCCATTTATGTTCGGGGTCAATCGAACTATTTTTATTATTTTGGTTATATTATAGCATTATATTATTATTTTTACTATTATTGTTATTAGTATAATATATGGTATTATATTACATTTTATTTTATTTTTTTAATTTTCTTTTCTTTCTTCCTAATTGTAGATTGAATAACTGAAATTGGGAATTGAATTTGGTCAAAGGGTCAATTAGAGCTCAAATCAAGGAATTTTTTTTCAATCAGCAATGAACTTAGACATATGCTGATATTTAAATAGAATCAAATCCCAAGATTCAAGGTTGGATTAATTCTGTTCATTTCTTAAATTTATTCTAAGGGTGTCTATAAATCGAAATAACATTACAAAAGAAAGGAGAATGGATTTTACAAGGGACACAATCAACTTGAATAAACTGGGTATTCTAGGTAGTACTAGGTTTTTGAGATTCTAGGTTCTGGGATTCTAGGATTGGTTTGGGGTTGCTAGGTAATATTTGAAGATTCTAGGTTTAATTTTAGGTTGCTAGGGGTTAAGATTAAGTTCTAGAAGATTTTAGAGAGGATCTAGAAAAATTGGAAAATTTTTGTGTTTTTTTCTAGAAAACTGAGTTTGAAGCTTGAATGTTTGAATTTTTCAATGAATTTTTCGGTGGGATATGAATTTTTCGATAAGTTTTCCAATGGAATATGAAATTTTTGATGGGATTTTCTAGAAACTAGCAAGGATTTCTAGTTTTCGATGAGATCTCGACTAGGTTTTAGAGAGAAGATAGAGCATTTGAGGTTTTAGAGAGAGAAAGAGAGAACAAAGGCATCAAAGATAAAACAGTTAAAAGCTCGTTCTCCAAAACAGTAGCATTTTGGTAGCCTAGGATTTACACTTTAACCCAGTGACCTGCATATTAATCCGACTCGATCGTATGTTTTCTTTTTTTCATTTTATTTTTATTTTTATTTTTTTGATTTGATTTTATTTTATTTTACTTTTTTAATTTATTTTATTTTTTAAATCTTTTTTTCTGGTTTTATTTTTAAGGAATTTTATTTTTGTTATTTTATTTCTGAAAATAAATGAGTTTTTTTTTTTTAAGAAAAATATTCTATAAAAGAAAACCTTTTCAAATAAAAAAATATTTTCAAATAAAGTTTTCAAAATAATAAAAAAGTATAGTAATAAAATCTTTTTAAGTTTTCAAAAAATATTTATAAAAAAAAATCTTTTTCAAATAAAAATCCTTACAGAATAAGTTTATGAATTTCACCAAACTATTGAAGAATTTTCATGAATTTAATTTTTAAAATGGAATCTACCAAACTATTGAAAAATTTCATAAATAAATTTTTCAAAACATAAAAATAAAAAAATAATTTTTATCCTCTAAACTATTTGAGAATTATTTTTAAGTCTTACCAAACTATTATGAGACTTTATTACTTTTTTTTGAATAAAATATGTTAATAAATCCAACGACGGAGCCTTTTCAGAATGAGACACTAGTCTCTATAAATACTCATAAGGTGAAAAAATTATTTTAAATTGCTACCAAACTATTGGGATAATTTTAAGATTAATTTTTAATATTAAATTATTTGATAAATCATAAAAATGATCAAGGCTTGGATAATTTGAAATCAAACTGGTACCATCCTTTAGATGGGCATTGTAAGGGTGCTATAACTTTTTTCATGCATAATCGACTCCTAAACCTAACATCTATTTTTGCATATTAAAATATGTTTTAGGTGGTCAATCACATTTAGATAAAAAAGATTTGTGACAACTCCTCTAATCTATGTATAACGATAAATTCACGAATTTATACGTTATGACAATCATATATGATATGGAATCTTGATGTATAAGAACCTCCTCATATTTAGTCAATTTATTAAGAAACTCTTCAAATGAAATGTGAGATTCTCAAGCTCTAACAACTAAAACAATTTCTTTGAAATCAACACCTATACCATTCAGAGCATGGATAATCAAATCCTCTTCAGTAATAAGAGAATTTATTGAAGCAAGTTCATCAATAATACTTCTTAATTGTTGAAAATATTTAGACACTAAATTAGTATGTGACACCATAATCTCGTATCAGGTAAATCTCTGAATTTGGGGCATGACATCGTACCCCTAAACTGATTGAGTTTTTCTTTGAAAGTCATCATCCTCAACCATAATTTATTGGCCAATAATTTATTAATTTTATTCTAAGCTTCTAAAAAGGAGTTTGAGGAGAAAAAAAAATGATTGTATCAATGAACGAGGAAATCATGACATGTAAAAAAATTGATTCTAACTAATCAAGTGATCATAAGTAGGATTGGAGATCATTTCAGGAGAGATGGAATTTTCTTTTACAATCATTTTTGTGGACAAAGGATTGATCAATCAATATAGGCTCAAAGTTTGTAACCAAGCAAAAAAAAGACTTGAATTGATTTCTCCACGAGGAAAAGTTAGAGTGTGTGAGTTTAATTGGGAGGCAGGCAACAACATTGATAGTAAAAATAGTTGTTGGATGGTTAAAAATTAAGATATTAGATCTAATGTAATGACACCAGAATAGGTGGGAGTTGGATTAGAAAAGTTGTTGGTAGTAGTGAAAGTTATGCGATATGTAATCGTGGACAAAAGATAGAAAGAAGAAAGGTAAGAACAGAGATTATGCTTATTAGGGGTGATAACAATTTGATTTAATTTCAATTTGATTCGATTTTGCTTAATACATAATATTATAAAATTTTAAAATTTACTATTAATTTGAATTGAATTTCTTTTGAAACAAACTTGATAATAATCGAATTTTATCAATTCAATTCATTGGATTTTAAAAATTAATTTTAAAAAATTGTTAATATTATTTTAATATAATGTTTAATATATTTAAATAGATTTGGTATAAAATAATTATTTTTATTTTATAACAAATAATTATATTTATTTTATAACAAATAAAAAAAATAATTTTGGTTTATTTTTTTTATTTTTTCAATTCTTAATTTAAAAATTTAATCCAAACTTTATTGAAACTGAATTAAAAAATTTCCAAACCGAGTATTATAGTTTCGAATTAGTTTTTGATTTTTCGATTTCCTCCCCCTAATTCTCGTTGGAGCTTGCTGGTTCTCGATACCATAAAATAGTTTAATAATAATAGAATTGGGAGAAGAAAGGATTGAAGGCATTCGTTGTGTTGTATGACATTTGTAATACAAATAAACAAGATAAATAAAAGATAAATATATAATATGATAAAAATATATAAAATCCTTTGAGTAAGAACAAGCTATAATGTAGTAATATAAAAATCTCATTGATTAAGGACAAGTTATAATGGAAAATCATGGGAACGACTTTATAATCTTGATCTTTTGAAGTTTTCAAACTTCTATTTCTTTCAATAGTTTGATTTTATTTAGCCAATAAAAAATTATTGTCTATTTTATTTAAAAACATACAAAAAAAATATATTTATACTATATATAAAGCTCCTAATTAAGTTAGTGTCACAATTTAAGTGACAGCAACTCAATTGAGGAATTAACATAAAAATCCAATTTAATAATAATAATGAATATAAAATTTAAAATACATTCCTTCTGTTTCATTTTTTTATTTATATATATTTTTGGATATTTCAAAATTATGTCATTTTTTTAACATTTAAAATTTTTATTTTTTATAATTTTAAATTATATATTTGTAATTTTTAATATTAAAAATCATTAAATTTTAATTTTAATATTAAATACATTAAAATCAATATTTTTTTATTTCATAAAAATCAATACAATTTAAATATTTTAAGACGAAAAGAATATTAGATATTCATGAAATAATTTTTCCTGCTGAAATGTCCCATCATACGGACTCTAAGAGCAATATTGGGTAGGCTTCGACAGTTCGAAGTTCAGCCCAGTCAAACCAATTACACGTGTGCAACTCCACACGTTTGAAGGACACAATTAACAGTGAGGGTACTTTTGCAGAATTATAAAGGCCGCAGATTTGTGGAACCAGGGGGCATTTGAGCTAATTTGTTTGTGAAAAAAAAGAGAAAAAAACAAGCCATGGCGTTGAACGGTGGGCTTAGATCGGCTTCTAGGCTTCTGACTTCGTCGTCTCAATCGCTTCTCTCCAAGTCAGGTTGGTGACCCAGTAGTATTTTGGTTTTCTGTTTGGTGGCTGAGAAAATAGAGGAAAATAATGGAGGATGAGAATCTGGGTATTAGGAATTCTTTGTTGTTAGCTACAAATAGAAGGTTTATTACGCTGTTTATGTAGATCTGCTTGATGGTTTTTTTTTTGTTATTTCGTTTGTTGATTTTTTTTTTGGATGATTTCATATTATATATGGTTTCGATGATTGAGTGTCGATTGGATTGATTGTTGTTGGAAACCCATGTTTTATGTCAAGTAACTGAATGAAACTTTCTTATCTTACAAGGGTAAAAATGCTAGCAGATAGCTCAATATTGTTAATAATCATTCTTTCAGTAAATAAATGCCTAAGGGAGTTGTTAAATAGGTTTAGATGTATTCTGTGAATAGCTATGTTGTCGTAGTAGGTTGATTCCTGGTTCCCCTTAATCAGCATTTGCTTATAGAGTTAGTTTTGAGAGCATCTACAAACGCTATATAATTTTTACATTAATTTTTATGACTTTTTTTTAATCTTTTTCTAATATGAATAATTTGTTGGCAACTCCACTTTCGTGATTATCTTTCTAATAGATTGCATTTTAATTGAGAGAGGACTGTTTGAGATAGTTAGGACATGTGAAACGAAGGCCTATTTGTGCACCAGTTAGGAGAAATGAGCTTCTGGATTGGGGAAAGACATAACTTTTAGAGGTAGACCACGAAATATATAGATGTAAGTAATACAAAATGATATGAGGGTTAAGGAAGTAGATGAAAAAGTTGCTTTTGATAGAAATGAGGGGTGCTAAAAGATTCAAAACTACAACTTAACATGAGACATGATTCCTTTTTTTGGCCTTTCCTACAGCCGACCCAAAGTTATGGGCTATAAGGCTTAGATTGTTGTTGTTGTTTTAGGCTGCATTTGAATTCTTTTTTTTTGGGTTTTTGTCCTAATAAATTGAGTGGGTTGCTGCCAAGTTTTGGTTTTACAATACAAACTTAGAGCCCTAGCCTTTGTTTACATTTTGAAAATGGTTGCTTTTGCAATTATATAGATGTGGAAGCTTCTGGATATTTTACATGCAGAATTGTTGTTCAAATGATATAAGAAAAGTTCTTCTTTCTATGTTTTAAGTGTTTGAGATGCTTTCTTTTTTTGTATTTATGTGACCTTCGTCTCTTGCATTACATGTTACAAGAAGAGGAGGGATTAGGGTCAGCTTAGGGTTTTCTTTTAAAATGTTTTTGGACTTAAAAAAGAGCTAATAATTGGGCTTTAATTTTTTTCATATTTTTTTTTTTTTTATAAATTGGATTTGTATGGATAGTTGTCTTAACTCAATCCAAAAGGCAAAAATTTTACTAAGTCTTGGGCGTCTTCTATCTTGGGCTCTTGCCTAGCTACAAAGTTACATGGATTTGAGTTTAAGATCATTAAATATATGTCTAAGTATATTTATGAAACAAAATTATTTAAAATTAATATTAATAGTTAAAAATAATTAAATTGATGAAAATATTTTCAAAGATATATATTTTTTGCATTTTTATAAAGGAAAACATAAAAAATACTATTGGCGAGCCTATAATTGTTAATAGCGTACCAACTAACCCCACCCCTCATACCACAAATTAACTAAATGGTGTATCTCGTTCCCACACCTATACCGCAAATTGGTACATACTAAGTTCTTGGTAACCATGGTCCATACTCCTAATATGGCTAACGATGAAAATTTTCTACATCTCTTCATACGTGTCTTGAAGTATATTAGTCATGTCTACAACACATGTTATGTTTCTTTGTCCTCTTTAATTTCTCTCTTAGGCATGCTATGTATTAATTATAGCTGGATGGGTTAAAGAAAGTTGAAAATGAAGAAGTGACTTGAAGATTGAGTGAATGATTGGATGAGCCTTGATCTTTTCAAACTATACTGGCTTCCTTTTAGATTATATGTTCCTAATTGAAAGGAGAACAAGAAATTCCCCCTTGGTCATTGCATTCTGCACCATAATTATTAGTAACTTGGTAGGTATTGGCTTGTGCTACAGGTACAGGAATGAGATACGTTATTTTATTAATTTGTGGTACAAGGGGTGGCCTTGGTACATTATTATAGATTGTGGTATGCTTTGGAACAATTAGTGGTTCACCAACATTTTTTTTTTTATGTTTTCCCTTATCAAGAAACATAAAAAAATGTTTTTCTTTTAAAATCTTTTCATCAATTTAATGTATTTTTAACTATGAGTATTAATTTTAAATAATTTTGTTTCATAAAATATAATTAGAAATGATCTTAAACTCTAATCCGTTTAATTTTGTAGTTAGGCTAGAGCCTAAGATATAAAAGGCCCAAGACTTAGTAATACTTTTACTTTTTTAGGCAAAAATCCATATAAATCCAATTTATAGAAGATAGAATTGAAAAAGATTAAATCCCAATTATTAACTCTATTTTAAGCTGAATAACGGTTTGAAAACAGAACCCTAAGTTGAACTGACTCTTTACTCTTCTTCTTTCTTTATGTTGATTGCATGGACCCTTTCTTATTCTAAGCTTTGTGATGGAGTCATAGAAATTCCCTCATTTCTCTTTTCTTTTTTTCTACTTCTTTCGGTTGCAATACCATCCACACAAAGGATGAAAAGGAACTCCATTTTAGAGATCCACATTGCATACTAAGAGTTTTGTGGTCGTAAACATACCACAATCTAGATCCCACCAACTGGGTTGGAAGATGAGACAACTTGCAAAAATATATGAATGCTTTGCTATTTAATGCTTGGAATGTAGAAAGAAGACCTTAATGGTGTGTTTGAATGGGGTATTTAGAGAGAAATTTCATCTCATTCAAGGTTTTAAAAATTCTAATAATGAATTGATTTGATTGGCAAAAAATGGGAAATTTCAAAATTTAGGAGGAATTTCAAGAAAGAATTTGGGCACCTCTTGAAATTGCACCAAAAGGGGTAGTTTTCAAAATTTCTCCAAATCTAACCTCACTTCATCCATCGTAGGATAGCCCTTCATAAAATACAAAATTAAAAAAACAAAAGATCATTTGTTTATCTCTAATATTTTTTTTTCATATTATTAGTATTATTAATATATTTTTTAGATCTAATAATATCCATATTGCATATGTATACACATATATTCCTAATATACTGTTATTCTTTATTATAATTATTGTTTTTTGTCACCAAATTCCATTAGGCCAAATTTCTTTTTAGGAAACTTATCTGAAGAGGACAGTTGAGATTTACAATTGATACATTTTAAAATGTCTTAATTTCTAATTTCTTCATAGTTTCAGAATTTTCCATCCAAACACACTCTAAAATCTCTTCCATTGTGTAGCATATGACAGTTTTCTAAGGTGGTTCATGGTTGTTTAAAATGCATTGAATCATGCATCTTTATGTGCAAAATGCAAATTCCTCTTCTTTATTATTGGTGATACCATATCTAATCTGAAATGAATAGTTATATTCTGGATGACATCTACAATTTAGATATTTAGGAATAATTCGTAATGAGTGCTGGTGGTTCTCTCCTAGCTGCCTTTCGAGTTTGTCGTCGTACTGACTCTGGGATTATTCCAGAATTCTTAGATGTTCAAAGAAACTAGAATTTAGCCTCAATTCTGTTGAATTTTTTTGTTGCAATTATGCTTTTTGGTACTAATATGTATAAAATTCAACGGAACTATTCGTGTTGTGTTTCTGGCAGCCAATAAAGGGTTTCATTCAACTGGAGTGAAGAGGATGGGGGGAAGCCACGAGCACGGCCATGATGAACCATATTACCTTCATGCTAAGCATATGTACAACTTGGACAGGATGAAACATCAGACGCTGAAGATGTCTCTTGCTGTTTTCACAGCCTTCAGCATCGGTGTCTCTGTTCCCATCTATGCCGTCATTTTCCAGCAGAAAAAAACTGCATCTGGCTGAATTCGGATGCTTACTTTGATGGCTGCAATAATGGAAGCAAACCCGGGACACAGGGTGCCTTTGTAATCAACTTTTGAAATGGTTTGATATGAAGATATTGCGCACTTCTGTTCACCGTTGATTATGGAACTTTAGGATTGGTAGTATTCTGCATTTGATAATAATATTTGATGGTCCAATTTGGATTTTCAATGGAAATGCTTTTATTTTCTGAATTTGAATCGTTTGCCTCTTCAGTCTCCAATCTGATGGAGCATTTAGATTTTTTTTTTTAATTTGAGTTATACTTATTATTTGTCACTAAATCTAATAATTCGTGTTATCGTATATGATTTCAAACATGATATAAATAATGTTGATACGAATATGATATGTTTATTATACATGTTATATGTAATTTAAGTAACACAATACGATTAATAGGATTAGATACAAATACTATGATTAGATATGATTAATTTATTTATTTAAATAAAAGAATCATTTAAATTATAATTTAAATAAAAAATTATTTAAAAATTAAATAGTTATAATCTAGTTAAATATTAAAATGATACAATAAATAAAATTATTAATTTATTTGAAAAATAAATCAAAATAATGTTTTAAATTTATATGTTATATAAGTTTACATAAATAATACTATATTTTAAATGTGTTATTACTATTTAACAGGAACATGATACAGTTAAAATGTAAAATATAATTACATTAAATTCATATATAATTTTTTATGATATTTTCATATTTAGTTTAAAATTACCTATCTCTTTGCCACATGAATGCCCACGAGGAAAAGTTGCATAAAGAGTAGACTATATTTCCTGTATATGAAATAGGACGAAAAAAGTTTTTGTGCAATCTCATTTTGAGCAGACTTTTTAAAAAATCAATAACTCAAACTAAAATTAAAAAAAATAATGAAGCTAGTGTGATTTCAGTTGATCTCAAATTAGAAAATTACCATCAATTAGCTATTAGGTCAAAGATATTAAAATCAATTTCAAAATTAAATATTTCAAGTTCCAACTCAAAACTAAATATTTCGAAATCTAAATTACAATGTTAATAGATAAAAAATTTTAGAAAGTACCCAAATTAAATACTCGTGGTAAAGTACCAACATTTAGTTGGACTGTCAAATCTTCACCGCCACAGATGAGCTTATTCCAGCTAAGCAACATTAAATGAGTTTATATAAGAAGAACGATAGATCAAATGTGGTCAAGGTGCAATTACTCATAAATTCCCCATAACTGATTTTCCCATCCTATCGGGTCATGAAAGTGTCATTTCTCAGACACCATTGAAAGGAATTATATGAAGAAAAAAGGAAAATTAAATAAATGAGTAATTAGGTTTAAAAGAAGAAAATTATTTTGATCGATATCAATCTCCTCGATGGCTTCATTCATCTCCTATTCCATCTACAGCTTGTCTTAATTTATCTGTTGAAACAAATAATAATAATAATAATAACTAATAAAATTAAATTGCATAACACTATGAATGTTCAAAATTTAATAAAATATATTTGAAAAAAAAGCTCAATGTCTTAGATCTCATTTGAATCGTATCATACCTCCAGCACGAATTTTATTCTTTTTATCTCATTTTGCACCGAAACGTTTGGATAACAAAAATTAGTGCGGTTAAACCTAGTTATCTGAAAATTTGAAACGGAAGAGGAAGGTTCCAGTGGAGATTCTCCCATTCCTACCGCAATTTTTTTTTCATTTTTGACCTTTTTTTTTAAATATTAATATTATATTATAGGAAAGAAAGTTATAGTTATTTTTTTTTCATTTTATTTTTTATTTTAAAATTAAATATAATTAATAATTTTTTATAATTATGTGATTAATTATTAATTAATAACTAAAAATTAAATGAATACATAAAAATTTATTTATTAACTAAATACATAGAATATTATTTACTTTATATATTTTTAAATAATAAATAATTAAAATTTTTTTGTATATAAATTTAATTTAATATCTTTAATAATAATTTTTCTTTTCGTTATAATTTATTTTATCACCGTCGTTGTGTTTGTATTCAAATATATATTTCGTCTTCAATTTTACTATCATAATTATTTTTAATGTTATCGAAATTAATTTTATTATTTATTTAAATTGACATATATAGGACAAATATTACTCACATTTATCAATCAAATTTGAATCTAAAATTTAATTCAATTAATTTATATAATTATTTTTAAAATATAATAAATAATAATTTTAAATTTTAATATTTATAATCTCAATCTCTTATTCTTAAATCCCAATTTACGACTATTTTTGTAAAAAAAAAAATTAAATATAATTTTTTTACAACTTGCAACTATTAAAAATTGAATTGTAATTATTAAAATTAAAAATTTATCAACATCCCGCGCGTGATTGTTGACAAAATCTAATTTCTTTGAAAATATGACTTGGCAACGGCGGGCAAAAATACGTGGTAAGAAAAAAATTATACCAGAGGAAAATAGGAAAGGATCTCCTTGTTGGCGGATGTAATGTTTATTATTTTCATCATAAACTTAATATAATTAAAACAAATTTAGGATCAAAATCTATTAACATGGATCCTTTTTTAAAAAAATCAATTTTTTTTATATTTTTACTCAATTTAAGATCTTTAAAATTTTAATAATAAATCAACTTCAATGTTCCTTAAACACTTTTAAATAAAATAGTGGACATTTTCACGATTTTTTAACAGTTTTTCCGGAAAAATATATCAAGAGAAATTAGCTCAATCAATTGGAAAATATTTCGTGTGTTTTGAATTGAACTTTTCATAAGAAATCTCTTATTGAAATTGATCTTGAATGAACAATTTTTATTAAATATATGACACAGTTTTCTTAAACTTAGTTTAGTATTATTGTTACTGTTTGTGCTTAGCTCCGACTTTATGACGTTTTTGGAAAAACAGAAGAGAAGGATAGTGAGAGTGCAAACACAGAATGTGCAACTTAGATAAAATGAGGTCGAGAACGAAGTAAAAATGAGAATATGAATTTAGGATTAACTTACTTTAGTGATGTTTGAACGTTCATATTTATAGGTGAGCAATAATAGATAATCAGAAGATAATAATAACAATACTAAGTTGATGTGATATTGAGCATATCAAATTAAATTGACATAATTTGTCATATCGATAAAAATAATAAAAATATCTTTAATTATCGATTGAAGGCTTCTAAAAAAAAAAAAGACTATCACGCTCTTTTAACTATCAAATGCCCTTAATAGTTAAAATTGAAAAAAATTCGATGTGAAAAAAGTTTGCTTGAAAATATTTTAAAAAATTATTATGAAAAGTTATAATTTAAGATTTTTGAGTGTTTGACATTATTGTAAAAAATTAGAATGCCTAAAGAGCCATAATGTTAAAACAAATAAATTATTTTTATCAAAAATAAAAAATAAATGAAATAAGTACTTGATCATTTTATTTTCAAACCGTAATTACAATTTTTTATAAAATTTTACTATTGATTCACTTTTAATAATAAAAAACACTTTTAACTTAAACTGTAATATATTTAACATTATTTTTACATTTAAAAATTATTTTTTAAAATTCAAATGCAACACTAAACCAACCCTTCTTCTATGTAAAAGTGAATGGTTTATCTACCGCAAATTTTATTAAAAAAAAAAAACAAGTAAAAGAAAATTCCGTGGTGGAACAAATGGAAAGTGCCAAGGTTGACTGACTCTGAAAGGTGTCTTATTAAAGATAATCGATCAAATAATGTGTTATTGTTGTGGTTTAGATGAGGATTAATAAGAGTGCTCAGAAGATTCGAGATTTGTCGGCTGTATTGTAATCGTGTTTATCCATAAAAAGGTTCACATTTACAAGGCCGATTCTCTGGCGGCTAACTCTGGTCAAGTGTTGTAGGCACCTCGGTTTGGCTCTATTACTCGACAATTATATGATTTGGGTTGATTTCTAAGTCCATTGTTTATTAAAAAGAAAGAGAAAGAGAGTTGGACATGAGACAGTTGGCAAGATTCCTTATTATTTGCCATCTTTTTTGTCTTTTATTTTACAAACGGACAACCAAGCAAAAATCCTAATGCAACAAATTAGGCCAAAAAGATATAGAAACCTAATCCTTTAATATCAAGACATGTGGTGCACATTGGGCAGCCTAGGCTAGGATGAGAAAAAAAACAAAAAAAAATCGATTTTAAATGATAATGTTTAATTTCAATTGATTTTTTTTATTTAATTTGAATTAAATTTAAATATTAAATATATATATATTAAGTTTGGATTAAATTTTAAATTAAAATATAAAAATTAAAAATAATAAATCGAATTAAATTAAAAAAATTTTATTAATGTATATATTTAGTTTTTATAAAATAAAAATAATTATTATATATAAATATATTAAAAATTATATTAAAATAATATATAAAAAATTTAAATTTTAAAAAAATTTGATAAATAAAACTTAACTGAACTAATAAAATTTAATTGAAATTGAATCAATTTAAGATAAAAATTAATTTAAATTTAGATTAAATTTAAAAAATTATAATAATTTATATTATATCCAAATAAATCGAATCAAATTTAATCCAATCCAAACCGTCCATCCCTTACTTTGCCTTTCTTTCATTCCCAAGTTTCCTACTTTCTTTGACAGAATAATTGTTTCATAATCACGTTGTTATCTTCTCTTTCTGTTCATTTTATTTACATAAAAGATTACGGTCTAAAAATAGAAGAAAAGTTATCAATATTAATATTGATATTGAAATTTATTAAATATTATCTTTCAAAGATTTGTTGAATATCTTTTTTTTTTTAAATAAATTGTATGATCACCTGAATTAAACTTAGTGACTAAACAATAATAGTATTTCTTTATTCTTGTCTTCCATCTCTCCTTCCTTTAATGGCCACATTTCTTTATCCTAATTGCCCGCAAAGAAAGAATTTGAACAAAACAATCAAATAACCATAGCATGAAAAGAACCTTTTTTTTTTTTTTTTCTTTCTTCTTCAATATATTTTCACACTGGGAAAAGTGGGGGCAATGATGGCTTGTGTTAGTTTAATGGCCATTTTTGACACCCAACTACACATGGATTACATTTCAGCATCCGAGGATGATCAAAGCTACTAATAACAATCAACAATCCCAAAAAAGTAGAAAAAAAAAAAAAAGAACACAAGCATTTACAAAAAGAAAAGAAAGCAATATTGGAACCTGGCTCCAAAAAATTGTGATTTGACCAAATTTTATCATTGAGAATCTGTTGCATGATTTTCATCTCCATTGTCACTGCCTTGGGTATGGTTTTCTTGATGCTGTTGCTCCAAATTCATTCCTAAACCAACTCTATTATTGTTGTTGTAAAGATTAATTCCACTGCCAAGTAACCCCATATTAGTTTCTGTCACTCCTAAACCAAGCTGCTGTTGTTGCAATATCATTGAACCCAGCTGAACTGGACTCACCCGACCCCCACCTGAATAATGAGCTGGAAACGTCCACATCTGGGTTTCTGGCACACTGGCTGATGCGGTGGCACCACCACCTACTGGCAGCATCCAAAATGCATTACCTCCATTGGTGGTGGCAGGCGCAACTGCCCACATAGCTGGAGCTGGTACCATGTTAGCTGTGCGAAAAGAACCGGGTTCTTGGTCTTGGATTCCGGTTCTCTCCGGTTTAGCAGAATTTGCGTCTACACCACCCGTTTCAGCGTTGTGTTGAGATGTTTCCTTGAAAATGTCTTCTCTGAATGGCTTTGTGGTGTAATTCTCGATAGGGTTAGTACTTCTCATGGAGGTATCAGGGTTCAGGATCTGAGGGTACAGCTGATGGTGAAACCCTAACATGGCAGCACCAGCAGGGTTGTTGCTAAACCTTCTACTGTCATCTCCATTACTGTTGTAAAAACCTAAAGCACTGTGGAAAGAGAGAGGTGCAGATTTTGATGAAGGAGCTGAAATAGTAGAGCCACTGCTGCGAAGTGAAACGTTGAGAGTAGAGAAATTGGCTGGGATGGTGCCAGTTCCTGTGGCAGCTATGATGGCTGGCTCCGCCTGTTGAAGCAGCCACTCGATGGTTTCACCATCAGATTTATGGCCTAATTCCCTGGTGAGTTGGAAGACTCTGGCGGCGCAGATGGCGGGCATGCGGATGCGGCGGCCACGGCCATCGACCTTAGTGTGGCGGTCCTTGGTGGGTCTTTTGGCAGCTGTAGGTTTAGCGAGGGAAGAAGTGGAAGTAGGGGAGGAAGAGCACTGAACCCCAACTTGGTTGGAAATGGAGCCCATGAATGGGACATGGGCTGGGGCCGCCTGAGCCTGATCATGAGAAGAGGTCCCATGTGCGCCAGCAGCAGCTGCTTGTTGTTGACCATCAGGAGAGGCCAGTTGCAGTGAAGATTCTTGTTTCAGGCCATGGTGGTGATGGTGGTCACTGCTACTGGTGCTTTTATTGTTCTGAGACTCCATTATTTCCATCCGGCCAGGGTTTCCAAAAAGATTTCTTTGTCTATCAAATTAAACCATCTTAAAAAAAGAAACCCCCTTTTTTCTTTTTCTTTTTTTCTACCTCATATGTTTATTATTATTATTATTATTATTGGTTGGGCAAAAGGCTTATGAGTTGTGAATTGTGATCCTGACTACACTGTTAGTGCTTGGGAATCTTCTTTTCTTCCTTGTGAATGACTGGTGTCCTTTGAGAAAGAGATTAGGTGAGACAGCAGGGGCAACAAAAACAAAGCAAAGATTAAAAGAATCAGTAAATTTTGTAACACCTCGGTGTTTATAATTCACTTTTAATGAAATTAATTCATCAATTTAATTTAATTTAATTAATCGATTGATAATTAAATTGATTTTAATGAATTACTAAAAATTATTTTCAAAAATTTTTAATTTTTGATTAATTTGATTCGAAAATTAAATTAATCAAAATTTTAAGTTAAATATAATAAAATTTAAATAAAAAATAAAAAAATATGTCATTTTCTTTCGTAAGTTGTTAAAGTTTTTAACATAATATTTTGATGTTTAAATATTTTATTAGATAATTTTATTTAATTTATTTAAAATATAAAAATTAAGAGTTTAAAATATAATTTAAGTTAAATATATTTATTATTTATTTAATCAATAAAATTAAATTGGATTAATTAATTTTTAAAATTAATAATTTTAATTCAGTTAATGAAAATAAAATAAAATAATTTAATTAATTTAATTTCAAATTATTTGATTTAAAATTAATCAAGTTAATCAAATAAATACTCTGAACAACATCCCACTCGTGGGAACCTTTTATACATGGCAATTAATTACAATGACAACAACTTGATGATTACGTCAAATTTACCAGGCTTCAAAACAATGGAACATTCAAGATTTTTTTATCTATTTATAATTTATGTATATAATTATGATAAATTTATTAATTTTATTGATAAAAAAGATGTTTAGAGAATTTATATATATTTTTAATTTTTAAAATATCAATAAATACTTTAAAAACATCTTTTTATAAAAAAAAAAATGTATTAATGTTGAAATTTCCTTGTTCACATGACTTTTTAAAACAACTTGTCGTGGTGAAAGGTTTGTGACTACCTGTGGTTGGACTTTTCAGTGTGAAATGTTGAAAACTTGAGAAAAGGGTAAGCCATGACTTATTTTTTTCTCTTACTGCACACTGATTGAGTTATCGTTGACAATGACGCCAAAGATATTAAAATTTATATATTTATATTATTTTTTATATAAAAATTATTTATCGTGGGCATATAAAAATATAAAATATATATTTTTAATTTTATTAAATTATATATAATTATTATTATTATTTTAAATTATATTAGTTTTATATCATATTTATATTATATTATTATAAGGTATATTAAATTATCCAGTGTAATTTCAATAATACCCATAAATATTTGTTTTGACGCTTTAGAGTAGTCCTATTTCTGTCTCTGGGAAGTTTTTTTTTCTTATTTTTTAGCTAAATTTTGTGCATAATATAGATTAGGTACCAGAGACCTATGGCCCTCCCTCACATCTATGAAAGTTTGTGCAGTAAAACTGTAAAAAAAAAATCACCTGCCAGGGTGATTTGTGAAAGAAAAAAGTAAGAAAGAAAGTGCAGAAAAACAGCAATTGAAAATGAAATTCACACCTACCTGCTGCTCCCTCAATTAACTGTCCATCTATGTGTCTTGTCTTTTATGGGAACTTACTGATGAGTCAATCCAGTCAACACTCAAGTTTTAGTGCAGATTTTTTTTCTGTTACATTTCTCTTTTAATTATTATATTATAATTAATTAATTATAATTTAAAATTATACAAAAAAAATTTTAAATAATAAATTTTCATATAAAATAAAAATTATGAGTGAAATGCATCTCGTAACATTAATCTTAAACATAAGCATGAAAAAAATAAAATTCTCGTAACTCTCAATTCGCATTATATATCCAATAAATAAAATTTTAAATTAAATAATATATATTTTATTAATTTAAAATAAAAAAAAATTATTTATTAATCATTAAATCAAATATTAAATACTTATTTTATTTAATTTTTAAACCAAGGACCATTTTCCTTGTATTTGTCTGGTGCAAATAAATATTGCTGGTAGAAGGTGAGACTTAAGGGTAAAAAATAGTGAGGCATGAGCAGGACAAGGAACATGCGGCAATTATGGTGTACATTAAACGCACAGGCCAAACAGCTTAGCAAAGCATCTAATGGACTAAGATTTCTTTTATATTAATGATGAAACTGATCTAGATAAAATTAAAAGGTATTAAATATAAAAATAATCTTTTATTATATGTTTTTGTTAATTTAATTTTTTTAAAAAATAAAATTCATAATAAGTATTTGAATTTTTACTTCGTTATATATTTTAATATTTTAGATTAACATTGATAAGTAAATTATTGATATGATATTAATATCAAATAAGTTCTTGATACGAATCAAAAATATCTAATTATCATCATTTGTTATTATTATATCAGTATTAAAAAATTTTTAAAATTTAAAAAATCTTAAAATTTGAAAAAATAGTAAAACTTTTTTTTAAATTCCCAAAATTTGAAAAAAAAAAACCAGAAATTTTTTTTGAAATTCTTAAAAAGTTCAAAAAATGAAAAACTCAGAAATTTTTTATAAAAAATTTTTAAAATTCAGTAAAATTTTTAAATTTTTAAAAAATCTTAAAATTTTTCAAAAATATGAAAAATAAAAATTTCCCAAAAACTTCAAGAAATCCAAAAAATTTATAAAAATTTCAAAAAAGGAAAAAAATAAAATAATTAAAAACATATCCAAAAAAATCCAAGAAAAAACTGAAAATTTAAAAATATGAAAAAATTCACAAAAAACTTAAAAAATTGAAAAAATTTTAAAAAATTTCCGACAATATTGCAAAAAAGAAAAATATCTGAAAACTTAAAAAATAAAAACTGAAAAATAAAATCACATAGGGCAAAACTTTATTTTTTATTTTTATATATTGAAAATTTTCAGTTTTTTTCTAAATCTTAAAATTTTCTTATAATGTTTAAGTGATAATATGATGTAGCAACTACTTAGTTTTTTATATGTGTCATGATTTTATTAAATATTGATATCACGTCAATAATTTAATTAATGACGTTAATTTAATATGTCAAAATATATGATAAAACAAAAATTTAGTTATCTAATTATAAATTTTAATTTTTAAAAAATTAAATTAATAAAAACATGATATATGAATTATTTTTATATTTAATCAAATTAAAAATAATAGTAATGATAAAATTAATTAATATAATAATAAAATTAAAAATAATGATGGATTGAATCTAAGCGAATCTAACAGTTCATCCCAATCCAAAGCCCCGCTCGACGCCTTTTAATATCATCAACAAGAGTAAATCTAAGTCCATTATTCCACATCCATAATTTTTTGTCTATATTTTTCCTCTTCTTTTTATTGCTTTTATAGAATATTAGATATGGCACGGAGGAAGTTTTTATTTCTTTGTTATATACTTAAAATTTTGATAATTAAAAATTTTTTGTTTTATACTTAAAATAAAAAAAAATTCATCTATTCATATATACTTCTGATTTATTTTACTTTTAAAATTTCCTCTTTCTTCCCAATCCCATTTGCTTTCCACTAATAAATTTATTTTCCATATTGTAAAAGAAACGACAAAGCTGTCACAGCATGCAACCATGCTCTTGTATGCACACCACAATACAGGCAAGAACGCTTATAATTGCTTGCAATTAAGAAATGTTTTCTTCTTGATATTTAGTTATGTCAGCAATCCAAATTTCCAAGTACAATTGGGCAATTAGATTTTGTCACTTGGCTGTGGAAAAACGCTACCATTTATTATATTGTTCGTTGTTATTTGTGGGGTGTTGTCCACTTTAATTAAGTTTTGAATCTATTGGAGGCTTTACCTTTGTACATTTTCAGTGCTTTTTTCTTCATCCAATTGAAAATTAGGCCATGGAATGAGGCAATTAATCAATTCAAGTGGAATTCATGAATGTCCACCTAAACCTAATAATAATCCTTCAATTTGTATATTCATGTAAACCGTTGATAATTTTTATATTCAACATAATTTATATTGATATGAAAAATATGAATTTTTTTTTTTGTTAAACTCATTGTTTTTATTAAGATTTTAACCCGTATTACCTTCTTATATCTTTTCCTATGATTTTCACATCGAATCATCACATTCAGCCCTAAAAATCTTACCTCAAAACAGCAAAATGTATCTTTTATTATAAAAGCAACAAAAATTAGTCTTAGCAACCGGCTATTGTACACAAAAGCAAACTTTTAATCAAAACATAAATGAACAAACGCCAAAAGAATGGTGTTATAATGAAAATTTTGAAGGTGGTCTTTTGCCAATTTTGTCTTTTCTCCCTACCTTTATCTGCTGATTTTTTTTGTTTGTTTGAACTGTTTAGCAAATCCAAGAAGATGATCTCTTTATCAATGGCTTCATCTGTTTGTCCTCCTCCAAAGAAATCATCCCCAAGTGTGATGGATCCTCCAGCATCATTTTTGCCACTAAATATCCTGCTATTGACCATGTCTGATACTTCCTAGCCTGTTTGCCAATAAATCTCCCGAGTTTACCATCATAATATTCCGGCCAGCTATCTTTCAACAAACGCGTCTCAGCAAGATCAATGGCACGTCTTGCAATCTGAGGCCTTCCCGTTTTGATGCAAGCAGCCGTTAGCAACCACAAAAGCACTGAATGCAAATAGTTGGAAATTGCAGGATGACAAAAAGGGAAGGTTAAGAGCATTAGAAATAATTTATTACTGCAAAACTCAGTCACGAAAATAAATGATCAATCAATCTATTTTCCACGCAAAGTCACATGCTAACATCCAATCCAGTACTACTTCCAAGAAGCAAGGTGATAATACACTCATTGGTATATCTTCAGTTGGACAAGTGAAGATGAGCATGTTAAATACATGGTGCAATATCGCCCACAGCTGAAATGAAGGATATTGACATAATTTACAGTA